GCTCTTCTCCCTGGCTCCACCTTGTAGTGGCTGTGCGACCATCGGCAAATTACTTGACTTCTCTGGGCTCATTTTCTTTTCCGTTAAGTGGGAGCCGTAACAACTAACTCACGGACCTGCTGTGAAGAATAATGGGAAAATGCGTGCTGAGGCACTTCGCACATGCCTGACACGTAGGAGGAGCTGAGTATACGTTAGTTCCTTTCACTGTCCATCCTTGACTTGAAATCTCTCCTAGGTAGCACCCAGGACCTGGCTTTGTTGAGATTGGGTTTGAGGGTGGCTCTGAGCCAGGTGTGGACAAGCCCAGCCCTGGAAACCAGTTCTTGAGCTGGTAACCACTGGCCATTCAGCTGTCCTCCTAGACCCACTGAGGGGCTGAGTAATGAAGCCACCCCCTCAGTTGTGCTCCCACCAGTTGATGGAGAAAGAGGAAGATATTTCACATCTCACTCTCCTATTATAAGCACAAAACCAAAACCCAAAGCATAGAGAGTAAAACAAAGGTAGGGACTAATTAGATGAAGAAACACTGGAGCCATTTGGAGATACCAGCACCCTGTGAGTAAAATCAGATGCTGGTTTTAAAATCCTGGAATGGATTCCCAAGAGATACTGTCAAGTTCCCTTCCATTCCCAGGGGCAGGATGAGCAGCTGTTAGGCCTGGCGCAGAGCGGAGAGGATTCCTGTGTTTGAAGTGGGAGGGGGTCGCTCAAGCCCCTTCCAGCTCTGTAACTCAATAGTCAAAGCCAGGGAGTCTGGGGCAGACCCAGCCTGCTTTGTCTAGGACCTTGCTTTTCCTATACGTGTATTTACAAGACAAAGAGAACAAAGATACACTCATTTTAAGAAGTAGATCCCCACATATGATATTTGTAAAGGTCTGTGCTGGGAGCTCCACAGTGGCCTCAGCCCTAGCGCCACATTCCAAGGCCATTCCAGAGCTGCCTTGCCTAAGGACTCACGTTCAGCTTACATTAGAGAGCACAAAGTTGCTGACAGCAGGAGCCCGTCTTCTGCCAAAGCCCCGGGCCCCTCCCCTAACATGCTAAGGAGCCAGGAACTGTGCCCTGGGGAGAGCAGAGGAAGTTAGGAGGAGAGTAACCCAATTGGAAGGGTGAGCCTCCTTTTGACCCCCCTCGCCATGCAGCAGGGTTGCTTTGCAAAGAGGGTTTCAAGGATATACTCCTGCTCTGGGCCGCTGTATCCAAGCCATCCTCAGCAACTCATGAAGACCCCTCAGAGCTGACCCATGTGTTGCTGGGCAACGAGCTGACCGGCTAGGGGTGGGAGCTCACAGTGAGAGGTGCCCATAACGTGCCACATACTACTGCTCCCAACCGCCCCTGAGAGGTCACATCTGGCCAGTAGTGGAGCCAGAATTCAAACCTGTGCCTAAATACAGACCCAGCCTCTCTTCCCTGTTGCCTCCCCACAGGGATCACCCCCACCATGTTTTCCTCCATCCAAATTCCCAAATCCACCCAGGGCCCAAGAGACAAGTAGCTAAGCCCTTAGATTGGCGTGTTGGATTCACAGGTGCTCTCTTTGGGTATTTTTGCTGGCAAGGACCAAGGACTCATTGGGTCACTTCAAGTAATGAGGGCTTATGGTAAGGACACCGCCTATAGAAGATCAGGATTCATAATATAAGTGGGCCTTGCAGAGCCTGGAAGGGGAAGGTGATTCCGACCCAAGGCAGTTCTGGGGCCTCGGCACTAGGGGTTCATGTCTTCACTGCAGTGTCTCATCTTCAACAGGGCTCATTAATTCCTGGCCCTGCCTCTTTTTGCTTCTGCTTCTGCTCAGCTCTCTCCATTTCCCCCAGCTCAGACTCCTAAGGGAATCTAGGTGGTCCTGCCAATTATCATCATGGTGGTTTGGACAGAACTTTTGAGCCAGACCAAGCACTCATGGCCTTACCCATGTGTAAGGAAGTGGGCAGCGAGCATGGCTTACACCTTGACCAGCTTGTCTAATGCGTCTTGTCACATCTGATGTTAAAGATAAACAAAGCCAGATAATAGTTAAAGTGGTCAGGACGGATTTTAATCAGTAATATACAATTGCAATAAGAAAACTGAACTCAATTTTGATTTGTACAGAGGTGACTGGGCATTTGAAAGGGACAATGAGGAGATTGGGAAGGGGGTGAGTGGGGGCTCAGTAGAGTCAGGGAAGTGAAAAATCACAAAAAGCAGGAAGGGGGTTGGTCCCTATGAAACCCAAAGAGGCTAAGAGGCAGGGCCCTATCTTCAGATGTTGGCTGGACAAATAGTAGATTCTTTTGATAACCTTGAGTTTTCTCAGGCAGGGACTTTAAGGGAGGCTAGGGCCATCCAAGGGATGTGGCTTTGAGCTGTTAAAAATTATGTTAGTGTAGCCCTAGTCAATTTTGCTCAGTGGTTAGAGAGTCGGCCCTCAGACTGAAGAGATTCTGGTCAGGGGCACATACCTCGGTCGCAGGCTTGATCCCTGGCCCTGGTGGCTTGGGTAGCGGGCAGGGTGGGTAGAGCAGGTCAGGAAATGAGGAGGTGGGTTCTATGGTTGGTGCTGCAGCTGGGCAGAAAGCTCCACACAGTGGTTAGAACTACCAATGCTCCAGAAAACTTGAGGTGAAATAATCAAACTTCTGACCTGAGAGGAAACAGGGAGGAAGCCCAGCTAGAAAAGGCTAGTTCCCTGGGCTCCTTACATCAGCTTCCTCCCATATGGTTACATAGTAAGGCAAGGAAGCGCTGATTCCGGTCTTGGCTTTGATTTGAAGGGATTCTTCTCTGTCTGCTTCTTTGTGTAAAAGTGAGGGACCTGTAACCCCAAATCTTGGGCAACAGGAAAAAAACAGAGGCCCCGCCCTATGAATATCTGGCTGTCTGTGCTGTGGGGGTGCAAGGAGAAGCCCACCCAGGTCTCCCCATCCAAGATGGGGCCTCCACTCCTCTCCATTCCTTCCTCTGTTTCTGTTCCCAGCGATGCACTCATCAGTCCTTGGGCATAGCTGTATTTGTTTTTTAGCTTTACTGTTAATCTTTCCCACTAAAACAGCAGACCATGAAGGCAGAGACTTTGTTCCTGGATGTGCCCACAGTTCCTAGAACAGGACCAGGCCCCTAAGGGATGGTTAGTCACTGACTTCACTACACAAAGAAGCGAAGGGAGTGAGCTCAGGCTGGCCAGAGCGGAGAGGACAAGGGAGAGTCTCAACGTCAGTCCTGGCTGCCCACCCTGCACCAGCCTCTTCCTATTATTTTGGCCCGATGCCTTGAACTCTGCCTGGGCTGCTTGGACCCACAGCATCGTCCTTCCACTTTCCTGCTACTATGACCCCCACCAAGACTTCTGTTGGAGGCCTCCTTGGCAAGGTGCTGACAGAGGTGAGCAGGTCTGTGAGAAATCAAGGCTGACGTCTCAGCCTCAACAGCCTACCCAGGGCCAAGCCCCCAGCCAGCCAGAGGCCAGGCCTCATTTGCTGCTGCTGGCCCAGGTTAGTGCGTTATTACCTTTGGGGGGTTTCTCTGTCTCAGACCTGGCCTCTGCCTTCCGGCTTCTCTCCAGGTTTTCCATCTCTCGATTTTGTGTGTTCTCTTGCTCATCCTCACAAACCTAGTGGGAGTTTGTGTTTTTAATAAATTTGAATGGAGAGAATGGTGAGAGACGCGGGATGCATAGAAAATGGCATCGAACACTTTGAGGAGCCTCTGAAAGTCTTTGCCCTGTAATTTTTTAGCATCTTGGGAGTGGTACGCTTTCCTGGTGGCTCATTTGGTTCCCCTGTGCAGAATATTCTGGGGTTTCCCCAACCCCACTTGTCACTGTGTCACAGTACAGTGTCCCCACCTCCACCCTATATGTCCCAGGTGATTTCTGGCTGCAAAAAAAAAAAAAATACAACTCTGACATCTTCCCTGGTATTGGAACCATGAACACTGGAACTGAATGGAGCATTACAGAGCATCTGAGCCTGGCACTCCCGGTACCATCCACACACATGTATGACCTCAAAATCATTTGGGACACGTGAAAGATATAGATCCCTGATCACTGCCACCAAGATTATGACCCAGTAGGTCTGAGTGGGCCCAGGAATCTGCATTTTCACAGGCAGAGCACAGTGGATTTTCTTAGGGCAGTGAAGCTAATCTATATGATACTATATGGGTGGATACATTTGTCCGAACACATAGAACGTACACCACCAAAGAGTGAACCGTAACGTAAACTATGGACTTTGGGTGATTATGATGTGTTAATGTAGGTTTATCGATTGCAACTAATGTACCACTTTGGGGGGACTGTTGATAATGGGGGAGGCTGTGCAAGTGTAGGGGTCCAAGAGGGTGTATGGGAAACCTCTGTATCCGCCTGTCAATTTTCCTGTGAACCTAAAACTGCTCTAAAAAAGTAAAGTCTATTCTCATAGATACAGACAACAGATGCTGGTCACCAGAGAGGGGGGCGGGTGAGGGTGAGGTGCAGAAGGTGAAGGGATTAAGAAGTACAAATTGGAAATTACAAAACAGTCACGGGGATGTAAAGTGCGGCATAGGGAATAGAGTCAATAATATTGTAGTAACTATGTAGGGTGCCAGGTGGGTGCTGGAAATATGGGGGAGCACTCTGTGAAGTGCATGGTTGTCTGACCACTGTGCTATACAGTGGAAACTAATACAAAATAATACTGAATGTAAACTGTAATTTTCAAAAAAAAGAAAAGAAATTCTATTAAAAGAAAGTAAGAGAGAGAGAGAGAAGGCTGATAAGGGCAGTGGTGCCATGGCGTCTGCTGGCCACAGCTTCGGTTGTGGCTGTAGCCCTAGCCCCCCTTCCCTGTGCAGGAGGGGATTGGTAGAGGGGAATCAGGGAAGACCC